TGCCGGCAAAACGCCCTTCTCTAGCCGTGAAGCACCTGGCCACCTTGAAGTGGCGTGGACATTTCCCAGCAGACAAAGCGCACCTGCTTTGACTCCATGGAGGTTGGGGATTTATCAGCCGGTCTAGCCTCATGTTGAAACGGGCTCTAAAGACTGCCCCGGCTGCTGGGGTGGCACCTCAGATGCGACGAGTGCAGGTATGGCCTCATTGGGACCCAAAGATACGTTTCAGGTTGACTGTGTTGCCCAGTCCTGCTGGCCCAATGCCAGGGAGGTTTGGAGCATGCCATCCCTTCCTGTGGCCCCACCAGTTACCAACGTGTCCACCCCGTTCCCGAGACTCAGTCTGCGAGCAAGGCAGCATCTTTCTGAAAGCTGATTTCAGTCCTTGCATCTGCATCCAGGCCCCTCTGCACTCTGCTCACGCTGCAGGAGTCACTGCCCACCTGGCCCCTGCCTTTGCTGCCTCCAGAGGCAGATTCTGGGGTCCCAGGTCACCTGCCCTGGATGCAGCTTGGGAGTGACAGTGGCACCAGGTTAGAGGGAAGTCTTCAGGCCCCTGTGAGTCAGGCCAAATGTCATAAAGATCCTGGGTTTGGAACCTCAATGAGCCAAGTCATATCCCAGAGGTTCATCCCGTGGGGCCTGGAATCAGAAACCTGTCCTTAGGAGGCTGGTTGGGCTCAGAGAGCAAGAAAGGCTGCGCTTCCGGTGAGTTAGAGAGGAAGCTGGGTCCTCAGCACAGGAAAGCGTTGTCCCCAGGTTCTCCAGGGCTTGGCTTTTCTCATGACAGGGAACAACTTGTCCAGTGGAAGAGCATGAGCACTGATGGTTCTCAGGCTGAGCCGCCTGCACTGACAGCCTCACACTGACTCCTGGTGCAGGAGGCCTCACAGAGGGTCAAACACCGATGGTTTGCTTTGGAAACCGATGTGCAAGTAGAATCCCAAGCAGTTTTTCTTCCCTGTGGTCACCCAGCACAGTCAAAGTCAGCTGGTCAAGGAACCCAGGCCGAGCACTGAGTCAAACATCTCCAGCTGGTGCTCAGGGAATTTCTCCTTCTCTTCGCCCAGCCTGTGGGGAGCTCTTGGCCAGTCTGCACATTAAGCATGCCTCGTCCATCCTTTGTGGTGCTCCAGACAAAGCTGGGCTGGACAGAATGAGTTCAATGTCCAGCCTGTGTTGTCGGAGGGAACTCAGATGCACCCTCCCCACCTGTGCTTCCCATTGTCTCCTGAGAGGTTACAGAATGTGTTATGGACATTAGCAAGTGTTAATTTTCATGCAATATCCCTGGGAGGGAATTGGAAGTATTGTAGACGAAGATGATCAGGCACAGAGACGTGAGGCCACTGGGAAGAAGCCACACAGCAAAACAGTGGCAGGTCAAGAAAAGGGCTGAGGGATTTCTCCCCTCAGCACCTAAGGATTTGTACCTCAGGACACTGGTGACAGGGACATGATGTCAAAGCTTTACTGGGTTAAAAAGGACAAGCATTTCCCCACCCCAGATCCCAAACCCGTCACCTACTAGTATGGCTGTCACTGCCTGAACTCAGTCACCCTTGTGCCTGTGGCCATGGTGCCTTCCATTCCGATGATGGGGTATCTGCATTTTCTGGAAATAGTGTCCCAAGCCCCATCCTGCACAGATCGTTCACCTGCCCCAGACTCAGTGTAGATGCTCCCGAGCGGGTGGGCAAGCAGCTCTTCAATGTGCCCGCCTGTGTGATACTCTAAGGTGGAACACCAGTGCCCTTTTGCATTCACCCAAGAGAGGCCCAGTGACCCTGGTCAGAACCCAAGGTCTCCATCAAGGGGGGCCAGATGCTGCAGCCCCATCGGCCCTCCCTCCTGCCCCCGCTGGCTCTGTCACTCCCAGCACTGCCTGTGCATTGCTGCACACACTCTGAGTGCCCCCGCAGACCCACTTCTCCTCCTGGGGGTATCTTGGGAAATTGCAGGCCTCTTCCCACCATGGCAGCTCAGTTCAAGGCTTGGGGGGGCCACTGGGACTGCCTGACTCTGCACTCTGGCTTACAGAGGGGTGAGGCACTGTGACAAGTCCTCCGGCGAGTCCCCTGTGCAGCAGGAAGGCCCATGCCCACCCAGCCAGGCAGGCGGTCTCCTCTTTTCTCGGTAGCCCCACCGGAAACTACAGCAGTCTGTAGGACTCCCCCAGACAGAGGAGCATCCTCGGGCTGAGGTCGCTGGGTATATGGGATGGCACCCAGGCTCAAAAAAACTTGGGTTTCTGTGCTGGGTCTGGGGGAACCAATGCCTTACACGTTGGTCACCTCCAGGCCGTTGTAGCCTTCCAGACGGCACTGCTCCGGCCTGCCCTGGAGGTCCTCGTCGCCACAGTCTTCGTTTTGAAGAGAGCCGTAGTCATCATGGAACTCGGAGTCTTTGCTGCTGAAGCCCCTTCCTATCTTCCCCAGGGGCAGCTGAGAAGAGAAGACCAAAGGACAGTAAGAAGAGAAACAAAACTTGGGCCAGCAGGTGAAGTGGAAGATAAGGTGCTGGACCCCACATGGCTGACCATGTTGTTCAAGCCCCAGACCTGGTGGCTTGAAAAACATGCCAGGTGCACGTACATGTGTGCCCAAAATCCCAAGAGGAAAATGGAGGAGAAGGGTTATAGTGTGGCCATTTTCTTGGCCGGGTGTGTGTGTGTGTGTGGGGGGATGGTGAATTTCTCCCTTTCTCTGTCTCTCCATCCCTTTCTCTCTCTCTCTCTCTCTCTCTCTGGTGAACGCACAGACTCTATGGCAAAACTAAAATAAATAAATAGATGATAGATGATAGATAGATAGGTATAGATACATTAAGGAAAGGAGAGGAAAGAAAAATGGAGTGTTTTCAGACCTGGGAAGTGCCTCTCATTTCTAGTTGCTGTGTGATCTTGAATAACTCACTTAATCTCTCTGTGCTCCTCCTATTGATACTAATACTCACTGCTCAGCGAGACTGAAAGGAGTTTAGGAGGGGGTTTGTGTTCTCAGCTGCAAAGGTTCAGTTGGCTACTAAGATGAGAGCAAATCTTGCCAGTCTGATTGTGCATGGAAATCTCCTTCCTTCCCCCTCAGTGGAGGAGGGGTGAGAAACCTGTACTCCAGAACACCTGGGAGAATGTCTGAGCAGGGCATGAGGTCTGGTTGCATTCCTGAGTCAACGGGAGTATTCTAGCACTGCCTGGTCTGGCAGGAAGAGTGCGAGTTTCAGAGACTTACAGATCTGGATTCAGACCTCGGCTTTGCCACATCCCAGCTCTGTGACCTTGGACAAGTCAACCCCCTGCCCCCGAATCTATTTTTTTCAGGTATGAAATGGGAATGATAACTCCTACCTCCTAGAATCGTTGAAGAGTGGAAATCCCAGCTGGAATGCACACAGCAGGTTTCAAGCACAGGATAGGTACTTGATGAGTTGAAACTATTACGGCCACACACAGTAGGCCCTCAGGATTATTCCTCTTATTTAGAAATACCCGTATTGTAGCAGTCATGACGGCACTCTGTAATTATTTATTTATTTGACTGCCTTTCTCCCTAGAGCAATGTTATATATGATTATTTTCGCCCCTAAGAAGAATTTTTAGGCAGTTTTTGCCTAACTGCACTCCTACCATAACGTTTTAATCGCATAAATATACCACGATTTTACACACCATGCATGTACCTGTGCTTTTACATGAAACAAGTGAGATGTTTTTTGCCCCTTCCCCAAGGCAAATTGTCACTCTTTTGGGGGCAATATCCCTCTCAGTTAGAATGCTGTTCTGGAATGGGACAGCATTTTTTTTTTTTTAATTTGCTAGAGGGCCTGTGTGCTTGCTGAAGAGAGAGGGAGGGAAATTGAGAAAAATACCCCCCATGCGGGATGGCCACACTCCAATCTCTTCTTCCCTACCCTCGTTTCAATGTGCCCAAGCCACCGGGTCTGGGACTCGAACTGCATAGTTGGTCATATGAGATCCAGTTGTCTCAACCACCATGCCACTGACTAGCCCAAATGAGGCATCGTAAGGGTAAAAGTGGTCATTTATCCATGCTATGCCCCTCTACCCCATGCTCAGGGTGGTGCCTGAAACAGTACCCACACAGTTTCTCGGATGAATGGAAGGATTTTGGATTATCTAGTTCTGTCATCTGTGTCTACACATTTCCATCCAGAAACCTGTGTCCGTCGTGCCTGTGTGACGAGACCCAAACTGTACATTTTTTTTTTGAGAGGTTTTCGCTGTAGGGCGCGTGCGCTTGCCAGACAGACAGAGAGAGACATAGAGACAGAAAGCGAGAAATCACCCCCCAGGGGGGATGGTCACGCCGCAATCCCTTCTCCTCCATTCTCCTCTCGGGATCTTGGGCACGCATGCACACGTGCCCGGCGTGAGTTTTAAGCCACCGGGTACGGGACGCGAACTGCGGTCGACTACGTGGAAGTCCAGCGACATAGCCATTACGCTAACTGCTGGTTCCCACCAAACGGTACATTTTCACACTGTTTTGTTTGAGTCACCAGAGGCTCATCCTTGCAGTGGGTCAGGTGACTGCAGACTGGAATCTCAGCTGGTGGTTCTTGGAGTTTGGGTTGCACTGGAAACCTTTGGGCAGCCTCCTCCCCATCTCAGAGACCATCTGCTTCAGACCCTCTACTTGTTAGGCAGCAGCCCCAGGTGATTCTGGTGCAGATAGAGGAGGCCTGCTCCTAGATATACTACTCTAAGCTTGTCACTGTGCCCCAAGTATCCTGCAGGTCCCTGGCAGGTGGCATCCAAGACACCTTTCTGGATATACCCATGTTTTGCGAGGTTCTTTCCTCCTCTGAAGTGTGGCCAGACATGCAGGTAGTTGGGAAAAGGTGTTAAGGCACTGGTGTCATGCTGTTTATTGCTGAGTTCAAGGTGGGCTTGCCCCTAGGAGCATTTGAGAGTGCTTCCTCCCTCTTGGAGAACGTGCTTGAAGAACATTCAGAATCACTTTCTAGCTCTTGGAGTTCACAGTGCATGGAGCTGAGCCGAGTGAGGCAGGGCCAAGCCAAACCAAGGCCAGCAGGGCTCACCAGGCCGAACCAAGGCCCAGCAGAGCAGGGCTAGCTAGCAGGGCAGACAGGGTGGCGCTAGCTGACCAAGCGTTTTTCTCTTAAAGGGGCTGCAAACAATAGTGGCTCATTGCCAAGACCACACCATTGCACACACAGGCGCGCATACATTTAATGGTGTAAGACAGCAAAGTCTTAACTACATAACAAGTGCACAAGCGGAGTACAACCAATAACATAAATTGATTACCCTGGGGCCTTCAAACATAATAAGATAGGAAGCGAGGGAGCCATACTAAGCCATCCTGACTCCATTTGCAATACAACCCATGACCCGGCTGCTCCTTCCACCTTCACAGGTCAACACAGATGTCGCCAGGGCACACCCGGAAGAGGATGAGTCATGCAGTACAGAGGGCAAAGATTTTTCTCAGGTGCGTAGGGCTCACAGGTAAATGTGTCAAGTGACTTACCCGGCCAGCCTTGTACTTGCTTCCCCCGCTGTTCTCCTCCTTCCCTGCTCGGGTGATGCTGGAGGCCCTCCCAGGCGGCGTTCCGAAACGCTCAGCCTCCCGGATGCCTGAGGAGCTGGGGAGACACCCATTTTGAGTCAGCAAGGGAGGCTGTCAGGTACTGCCACCCAGGGGTATGCACATTACACTGTTGACAAGGACCACAACCCTCTGAGCCACCATCGAGCTCCTAGCACTTTATATTGCAAATGCAATCCTCACAACATGCCCCAGGGTGGACAACTGGCCCTGCACTACAGGTGAGGCTGCGGCTCAGAGAGGTTAAGCCAAGTGCCCAAATAGTAGGGCTGTGAGGCAAATAGCCACAAGGTGGGCCCAAGTCTCTGGGACTCCAAAGTTGTGACCCTAACTCTCCCAGTAAGATCTGTGGTCCAAAGGGAAGAGTTGATAGGCGAGTCTCCAAATTTCAGCTTGTTAGATGTGATTTGAGAAGCACCAGGCAAGTTTCCCCACATGCACGTGAAATCTGGACCCACCACCTCCACTTTTATGGTCTGAGTTACCCGTTTCCACGTTCTTTGTGTAAAGCATGGAAGGCTTCTACGAGAATGGGATTTGGCAAACTACAGCCTGTGGGCCCAGGCTGGCTGGCTGACTGATTTTGTAAATAAAGTTTTATTGGAAGTCAGCCACACCCATTTGTTTGCCACTGGCTGGGGCTGCTTTCTTGCTCTGAAGACATAGATCACATGGCTCCCAAATTCTAACTTGTTTACACTCTGGCCGGCCCTTGCTAGAACATCACTGCTGTGGATCATGAAACCGTCTGCCTCCAGGTGGAGCTGGTGCAGGGAACCTCGTTCAGAGCCGAGAGTAGGGACCACGCCCTCCTGCCGGCCTCTTCCTCTTTTTTTTGTTTTTTAGAGAGATTTTCACTGTAGGGCGCGTGTGCTCGCCAGACAGACAGAGAGAGACATAGAGACAGAAAGTGAGAAATCACCCCCCAGGGGGGATGGTCACGCCGCAATCCCTTCTCCATTCTCCTCTCGGGATCTTGGGCACGCATGCACACGCGACAGGCCTGAGGTTTAAGCCACCG